CTTCTCTCCCATGGTCGTGTCCTCGCTGGCTTCGTAAACCACCTTCGGCATGATCGATGCAATGCTGAAGCCGAACTTATGCTTGTAGTCCGTCGGTTCCTCGGCCTTCTCGTCGAACTCTCCCTGTAGCAAGTCGTAGCACTCGACAAAAGCGTAGAGGGCCTCGAGGGACGTATCCTTGCGGAACCGTCGCACGATCCTCCCGGCACCTGACGACTCGGGCATCTTGAGCGCGATGCGCACCACCTCCTTGTCGTCGGCGGCTGGCTCGGCCTCGATCCTCGTCGCCCGCCAGCGCCTCCACTGATCACGCTGCGCTGCGAGCCGCGTAGCCGCCGCGGCCTCCTCCTCCGCCCTCTGCACCGCCTCTGCCGCAGCCTTCTCCGCCTCGCGTCGCTGTCGAGCCCTCTCTCGGTCCTTGGCAAGAGATCGCTCGTAGGCCGAGTCTTGCTCGTGACGCAGGTTCTGTGTCACCTCCCTTGCCGTCCTTTCGGCACGCACGCCCGCCAGATCTGCCGTGTACTTGTTGATCGCACTCTGCGCTTCAGAGAGGTAGGCCGTCGGCGGCATCGCGCCGACGAGGCGCTTCACGATGCTCATCCTCGTGCTGCCCTCCTTGGGCGTCAGGCAGACCAGCGCTGAAAACGGGTATTTGGTGCAGTTGTACTCTTGCGCCACTTGGTAGGCCTCCGAGTCGAGGATGTTGCCGCCCCACAGGATGATATTGTTAGCCGGGTCCCGGATAAAACCGATGACCTCCGGTGCCAGGAGCGTCTCGCGCGTGAAGGATTCCGTATCGTCGTGCTCCGGTGACATCAACACAACCCACAGGAACTTGAGGTCCTTCTTTGCCAAATCTTGCGCTTGCGCAATGCCTCCTTCGAACCACGGCAGCTCACTATTGCCGTATTCTTCCTCAAATTCGCGCTTGAACCTGGCTGCCGTATCTTGTGGCATCAGCATTCGGCGGCCCGTGGTGTTCCGCAGGCCGGATGTCGATCCGTTCGTTAAACCTCGCGGTCGAATTGAGGCTGGCAAGAAGGAGAAGATGTACCAAACAGTGCGGAAGAGTCGAGAGGCAACAGCCCACCCGAGACTGAAGGGCGTCAGCAGGAGTCCGACGAGGAACGGCGGCCTGTGGACGGTGTTGGGCATGGGGACGATCCTTGGTGCCGGTTCGGGCCTGTCGGCTGGGTTGCGTCTCGGCGGCTGAGCCGCTGCTGTGTACATGCTCTCCTGCAGATTTTCGAGTCTTGCCGATGACCGCGGGAGCTCTTGCTGAGCCAACGCCTCGGCTAGAGGATCAGGCCCTTCGCCGTCGAAGAACTTTGCGATGGCAATCTGTCACGAGTCTCGTTAGTGTTCGTAAATACCTGGTTGATTGGTTCAAGGCCGTACCTGGACATTCCATTGTGACCGTTGCAGCAGTGGTATGGCGTCTTTGACCTCTTGATCTGTAACCTGCATGTACTGCTGTAGGGCATCTTGTTGGCTTGGAGAAAGCTCTCCCAAGTCAACATCTCCTCCCGTCGCCATCGATGTTCGTTTGGGTGGCGAAATTTCCGGGCGTTCTCAGGAAATGTTCTCAATGTGAACCAAGTCGCCTGGTCAAATCAGAAGAAATGCTGATGATTGATGTGACGCCGTAACTGAATCAACTCAGGAGACTCTCGAGGACGACTTGAGCTTGTTCGGTGATGTCGCGTGAACGATTTACAGTTCCACGAAGACAGTGTCTAGTGAGACGCGTTGGAGAGACTTCGTTAGGTCGCGGATGGGAAAGCAGGTGTAGGCGGGTTAATACAGCGTACGCACTCGTTGCCCGTCCTGACTGACTGGAGAGGTCGTGCTTCCCGTCGTCTCAACCCGGTGACGACACATGGCTTCTCGAAGCTCGGTATCCGCTGTGGTCCCACCGTTATCTCTTATCCGGTGTCGCGTCAGACACGGTCGCAGGTGTCTTGCTCCATTGCATGACCGGGTAAATGCCCCTATCCTACACTCCTGTCACACAGTGTACCGCATAGCTGCATGAAGCCCCTCCAATGCCTTGTCCCACCCCCCTCCGATTCAGGGATGGATGTCCACACTTGACATGGGAAGCTGGAACCGCGACAGTGGGGAAACCAACTCGACTCCCCCCCCCCCCCCCCCCCCAAACTCCACCCCTTGGGCCTCCTCGCGAACCTCGAAGCGCTGCGGCGATCTGCTCAGTGGTGTCTTCCCGCTCAACACCACGATCGCATCCCACGCTCGCATGGGCGAGCCGCCGAACTTCTTATCCGAACAATGGGCCAGGCCAGCGAGGCTCAAGTGCGTACAGCCCTGCCAAGCCTCTTATATGCACCCTCCACCTCAACACTGTCCTTTGTCTCGAAGGCTCGACACCCATCGTCCGACGACTCGAGCGCATGACGCGTTCCCCAGCTCTCTCCTTATTACCTCCTGCTAACATCATGCTGCAGACGTCGTAAAGCCGACCTCCAGGGCGTCCCTCCTAGTCAACGCCGCGAGCGATCATGTCGGCGCCGCGATACAGCTCGGCCGGGCGCCAGGTCGGGTCACCCAAGCCGAAGACGCGAGGCGAGTCCTCCAATACCCGCCGCACCCAGCCGCGAGCCGGATTGCTGACTGTGCCCGCCAATCCAGAGAGCAAAGACACGCTCTGCCGAAATGTCCTGATCTATGGCCACTGCCGATACGAGAACAGCGGTTGCGCATTCAATCACGACCAGAATAGAACCACGAACCAGAACGGACAATCGCCGCAAGGCCTACAATCAGAAGTGTAAGTCTAAGCTGCGCGTGATCACGACCTGTCAACCTTTTCGATCAGTGCCACGTAATGCTGCCGACACCTTGATGGGAACTACCTCAAAACACCTTGATGAGAACTACCTCAAAACCTGGCTCCGACCCGCCCTCCTCCGAATTGCACCCAGACCAGCCTCTCACTCTTCTCACTTCAATACTCTTTGGAATGGCATATGACAGAGCTCAGACTGGAGTCATGCAGCCGAATTGGACCACTACCCAATTATGCCATCGTTCTGCCTCGTCGCAGACGACTTCACCGACCCGGAGCACTAGGCGCTGGGGCGAATATTCCCAGATGGACAAGTACGACCCGGGGTATCCAAAGTTGTAGGCATCACCATGTGATTCCGTCTTGAATCATGCATCGACAGCCTATGAAAGTTCCTTGGCGCCCTTGACCCGAACCCGGCCAGAAGGTTCCGGGTGTGAGAGTCTTGTTGGACCTCCTGTGAAGCTGCCGTCGAGGAACACTCAGATGGCATTAGTCTTGATCTCGCTCGTGCGGCCCAGGAACCTCGAGTCGAGGGATGAACTTCATATTGATCACCGGCTGACTGGATTTAAGCAGCGCGAAACGATTCAACGTCGATTCGCCGTCGTTCACCCCGACAACGTTGCAAGCCGCGCCCGGGTCGGCGACGACCACGCCCGTCAAGAAGTCTACTTTTTCGTCTCAAGCGGCGAGTGCGGCATCTTTTGTTCCCCGCGGAACAAGCAGTAAGTAATGGCTTGCTATTGAAGCCAATCCTGCCAGCGCAGCTCTCAGGAAGTCACGAGAAGCTGACGCAATCGCGGAATAGGCACACCGTCTGCCGCGAAAGACACTGAAAGCTCTGCATTGCTTTTCAACCCCGCCAAGTTCCAAGAGTTCACGCCCCAGAACTTTGAGTTGAGCCCCAATGTAGGAACTTGTTGAAGTACAGACAATCATTCGTACGTAGCTAACTGTGCGCCAAGGTCAGCACCAATGGCGCTGCCAGTGACGCTGGCCTTACATTCGATGCCTTCTCCATGGCGAACCTCAACCAAGGGCTGCCTCAAACCCCATTCAATCCGTATGCGGAAGACCCAACAGCCCTTGCTTCCACTGGAGCATTCTTCCAACAGCAGAACCCCTTCGCAGCTCACACGCAACCAGTATGTCATGCCTTTTTGATCATGTATTCTGAGTGCCTGACAAGTTTCACAGCTCCAGTACCATCTGTATGCTCCACTAGGACAACATCGCGAGGGCCTCCTACCATACCAGAGGCAAACAAACGATTTCTTCTTGCCAGAGAAGATTCGCGAAGATGCTCAGCGAAAGCTAGAAGCTGCCCATCAAGTTATGAACAGTAAGCATCAATACACTACTGAGACACGGGATCTCCTAACATCCCGCAAGACACGGCACTTCCGAACATCGATCACTACTCTTCGCTCGTGCCCCTGGATACCAGCAACAGGGAGAGCTCAATCATCTTTGGCTACACCAGTTGGGTCTACAAGGCCACCTCGCAAGAAAACGGCAAGACGTACTTTTTACGGCGAATCAAGGGTTCGTGTACTCACGCTACATAGCCCAACACATGCTGACAGGTTCAGACTTTCGGCTATCAAACGAGCAAGCCATTCGTCTCGTCAAAGAGTGGAAGAAAGTCCACAACGGAAGTGTCGTATCGGTGCACAGCGCATTCACGACGCGTAAATTCCAAGACAGCTCCATCATCTTTGTTTATGACTACCATCCTCTTTCGAAAACGCTGGCTCAGCATCATTTCCCGCAACAACAAACCAACAGATACAACACAAGGCCGACCGTCACTGAGGATGTAATGTGGAGTTACATCACCCAGCTCGCGAACGCCCTCCAGGCAATTCATAAACTCAATCTTGCAGCGCGCTGCATCGACGCTAGCAAAATCATCCTGACAGAGAAAAACAGGATACGGCTGAGCGCATGTTCCATTCTCGACGTGTTGCATTACGAAGCCCGGAGACCGTTGGGAGATCTTCAGCAAGAGGACTTGACCCAGGTCGGCAGGCTCATGCTCTCCCTGGCCAGTAACACCCCAGCCAATGCCATCACGGCCAACAACATCAACATTATCATGCAGCAGATGGGCAATATGTTTTCTGAGCCACTCGTCAGTAGTCTGATGTGGCTTGTCTATCCCAGCCAAAACGGCGAGACTAAAACTATCGAGACATTCATCTCCAAGATTTCCAGCCAGGTTATGGCGAATATGGATATGATGCTGCATCAAAATGATGCGCTGACGTCAAACCTATACTCGGAGATTGAGAACGGAAGGCTCTTCCGTCTGCTGTGCCGATTGGGCACCATCAACGAGCGACAGGAGTTCGACGGAGACCGCCAGTGGTCGGAAAATGGCGAGCGTTACATGCTCAAACTGTTCCGAGACTATGTCTTCCACCAGGTCGACGCCAACGGTCAGCCGGTTGTGGATTTAGGACATATCGTTCGCTCCCTTAACAAACTGGACGCCGGCTCGGACGAAAAGATATGCCTCACCAGCCGTGACGAGCAGTCGGTCTTTGTCGTTAGCTATAAGGAGCTGAAGAAGCAGATCGGGAGCGCTTTCGGCGACCTCCTGAAGGGCAGGCCCAGCGCCGGGCGGGGATTCTAGGAGCCAGCAGGCGCAGGGTCGGAGGCCCCGAATCGCAAAGTGTCCAAGGACGAGTTTGTGAGCGACGGGCAGGCTTTGATGACGTGACTTGGCCATGAATTGGAACGGTTGGATCACAGAGAACGCAGCCTTAGGGATGATGGCTGGCGGGTGCTTGGATGGAAACATGGTTGGGCCTGAATCAGGAGCATAACGATGAAGCAAGGGGCGATGACGAGGTGGATGAGTGATGCCACGGGAATTTGTCGCTTGGACTATCATAAGGGCTGACAGGGTGATGGTCAACGTGAGCCCGTGTCTGGCTCGTGTGGCTTGGCCGCTGTCTCTTCCAGACTGATGTCGGCCCCAGTCCCGAGAACATACAGGTAGCAGCAGATGCAGTGCAATAAGTCAACTTTTCAATCTCTTCACAGACTTCAGCTGTCCAATTGGGATGCTGACGCTCATGTCATGCTACACGGTTTGATGCATTTCCATGTGCCGAAATGATGGCGCGGCCTGTCGGCCATGGACCCTGGAGCGGCTGGTCCAACATTGACACATCCATCGGACACAGCTCCACCCCGCATCGTCACAGACTCCTCCCCGCCTCGAGGCATCCTAGTCCTCGGAAAGCCTTGACCTTCACAGGCGAGCTGGTATTTTTGTGTCACTCGAACATGGCAGCCTCCTTCCCTGCCTGTCCTATCAGAGGTATGTGCAGGCCACTGTGGCGCAACGTCGTCCGATCAAGGTCCTCAATCTTCTTCTGGCTGGGCGAAAGGGTTGGCGATCGGCTCGCTTCCGTCAACAGGGCTGACGAGGACCAAGAGTGTACCGCGTGCCACGACGAGGCCGAGAGATCGGGTGTTCTCCTTTCCCTCGTCATCTAGAGGCAGAAGGTCAGTTACGTGTCCAGCCAAGGAGGGGGCGGGGTAGCTTACCTCTCATGACTTCTTCGACGTCATCGAGCACAAGATTCATCAGAGCGTCGTATCCCTTGAGCGTGCCAGTCACTGGACACAAAAGTCAGCCGGCGATTGTCGCCGCAACGCGCTGGGCCGCTGGCTCTTGGCGGTCGATGCGAGGGATCACTGACCTTCGCGACCGCCATTGAACTTGACGGTAATCTTCTTGTCCATATACTTGCCCAAGTCGAGGATGTTCTCCTTCTTGGGCCTCTCGCGGTCGCCGCCAGCACCACCCTGGCCTCCACCGTGTCCGCCGCGACCGACGCCGCCGCCGCCTCCCCTCCCTCGATGACCTCCTCCACGGCCACCGCCGCCGCCCCCTCCACGATGCGAGCCTCTGTCAGCCATGGCGAGCTTTGATGCCGAGTCGCGTAAGGTTGCCTGAACAGAGCTGGTCGATCAGTCGATTGCGATTCTCGAGTGATGGGATGCGAGATGTCGGGGAGAAGGTTTTCGTCGCGGGATGCGAGTTTGTGTCGACCTCCGGGAAAAGTTGGGGTTGGACTTGATGGAGTGGAAGTACCTTGTACCTACTTCACCACGTCCCCATCGATTGACGACAGACGTTGTTCAGGCGGCGGCGTGGTACAGATGTGGGCGGGGCGGAGTGGAGGGTGTGGCGCTACCTCCCACTACGGTGGCTGACGCTGGTCGGTGAGCGCACCACCCACCCTTTCTGTCTTTGGGCCGACGCTGTGGTGTCGATGGAGGTGCCCTACCTTGGAGCCCCTGCGAATTACAAGGCAGGTAGATGTTGTACAGCACCACAAGTCACGATCCAGTGGCACGCCCACACGACCACACAATCATGGAAACGGCCGAACGATAAGTCGGGTAGGACGAGCACCCATGATGTGATAGGATCCTGCGATGCATTACTGCATGGTGGTTGTCGGCACAGCATCGGACTAGTTCTGTTGGCCTTGGACAGGCTTCCTGCAGGAAGGAGGACATGCTGGTCACTATGCTGCCTTCAATTTCAGCTTGTCACTTCAGATCATGCAGGGTACCTCATCCGCGCGGGCCTCCACGCGTCTGAAGAACTCCGTTGACTTGCCGAAACCTTGTGAACCTGGCCGGCAGTCTGAGCACGCGAGCGCTGCTCCGGAACATTGGCACACTGTACTTGCGATGACAGGTTGGACGCGCTTGTCGATACCTGCAGGCTGTTATCTAGCAGCTTCATGTACACATCTAATCACTTGTAGGCATCCAATCGTGGTAGACCCGAGGTGAAGCAGATCGCCGTTCCAGACCAGGTCCATTTCCACGCCTGCGAAAACCGAGGGGGCCAGGGGCAGCATGCTTGGTATTCAAATGGCGCGCCTTTGCCGACCGATGCTGGACCGACGTGCCTTTAATCTTAGTTGAGGTTGGAAGCAGGCGAGCAAAGCAATATATTGCATGTATAGTGCCAAAAAAACTCGAGTCAGGGCAAGAGACCAGCACCAGATGCGCAAAGCTCATAGCGGACAGGCCTTTGCTTTGACATAGCTCCAGGTGGGCGCAAGTGAAAAGGGGGCGGGCGAGGAACCAGCGGCGCGCGGGTTGCGGTGGGCTCTCTGTCATCCAGGAAGGTGCAGCGCGTCAAGTGGTGGACAGAAAGGGAGGGCTGGTTCAAGGGCAGTGGCTGGCAGGTGCGGCCCAGCGGCCTCCAATGCCCCGTGCCGTCAACCCTACCCACCGTCACCGACTGCCCGTCCCCATCGCATATGCCCCGGCTTCCTCCCCGCCCTCGAAGCTGGAGACGCTAAACCCAGTCAACCCAGTGTGCTTTCCTGCTTGTATCCAAGCTGCTTTTGGGGGCCCATTTGAAGCGGGCAGGTACTTCCTAGGCTCCAGGCTACCTACCTACCCTTGGTGGTACGAAGTGCACATGCACACACACACACACCCACCCACCACCCACTGATTGAACCTCCACCAAGGAGGCAGCGCATCGGAGAACCCCCGGACCGTCTTTTCTCTCCATTTCCCTCATCCCATCCATTCTTTCATCCACCTCTCCTTCCCGTCTCCCCCTTCTTCTCCTGCTCGCTTCTTCTCTATATTACCTTCTGGTTCGTCTGGCAGCTGTGTACGAAAGTCTCGGTAGTCAAGTACGAGAAATTGGCACCTCTGGTCTGGTCTGTCGTCCTGGTGCCTGCCTTTCACTTCAAGGTCAGTAGCCTGCGTCTGTCATTGCATCGACTACTTGAAGAACGTCCAGCGGCATTCGACAATGGTTCTCTAACAACAACCCCTCGAGCTCTGAGCGCTACCTCGTGTTCTCCTGACCATTCGTCTCTCACGACGGCCAGAGCTCACCCAATCAATCTGTCTTGAGATCCAACAACACAGCGAAAAACAAGCCTCGGTGCATTCTCAGTTCTCAATCTTGTTGACACACGTCTCTCCCACCCACGCGGCAACCAATTGCTGCCTACGAACAACATTGGAATCTCGACCCTGTTCGCGTTTTCTTTTTGCTGCAACCCGTCTTTGGCGCAACGAAATCAACTCAGCAGCACCTGTGAACTGGATTAGACTGCGCTTTCTGCCTGCAGCAGAGCCGAACTCGAGCTGACGTGCGTGCGTTCTCCGGTCGTGAGAAAGATCCCGTTCTGGGCCCCTAGCTTGCGCTCCGCCAAATTTCATCCGCCCTGTCCACTCTTCCTGGGGCCTTCCTTGGTGTGGTGTCCATTGCAAGTCTGCATTATCAGCCGTCACCATGACACAGGCTTCAGAACCTCAAGAAATTCACAAACGGAAGCGCGATGCGGACGATGCTGGCAGCCAGAACAACTCAGACCGCATCCCTCAACCGCCTCCACCGCAATCTGGTATGTAATCGTGGCTCATATCATTGTGTTTGCGACCGTCTTGCGTCTTGTCTTGTCTACATGAACCCTCCAATTCCGATGCAACGCGCCCATCATGGACCTGAACGGCCATCCGACGCGCGAAAAGCATAGACCTGTCATCCAAGCCTCGGGTCCATCATTGCTTCTTGGCGCTCCGGGTCGGGCGTGCTCGGCTCCGGGCCTTACGATGTGCCGAGCCTTTGACTTGAACTGAGCAAGTAGCCAGCCTTGAATGTTGGCTACTTCACAGATGCTCGCCACTCGATTCAATCAGCCATTTGGGGACGCAATGCATCTTGTTGACTGATTCACGGCTAACCTATCCTTCCAGGCAACTCGATCCTCATCAATTACCTGACCAAGTCGAGCACCGGAAGACTGGAGCTCATTCCCGGTGACGCTGACACATTTTCCGATGTTCTTGGCCTTCTCAACAGTTATGAAGGTGCGAACAGAACCCAGCATTGCCCTCCTTGTTCTATCGTAAACTAACACCAGTAAGGGGTACTGAACAGGTACGAGAGCCTGGCAGCCAACCTAGGTGCCAAGCTCACAGGCCCTCGCCTGCTGAGGGCCATGGAGGGTGTTTTCGAAGGGCCCATCATTGCATCTCCCGCATCTCCATACCATCATCAGCACGCGCCAATAAGCTGGCTTGATATCGTCACATTCGCGCGATCAAACTCGGACAAATTTGTACTGACCACAAACGCTGATGGCGAGCGATCATGCCAGTTCTTCCTCAATGGGTCGCAGGTACAAATCCTTGAAGACGACTGGCGACTGATAGTGAACGGCACCCTTGACCGATTCTCCATTGCCTCAAACGCACCGCTCGAGGAAGACGAAACGGCCGAGCTGGCGACGCTAGACATTGTTGAAAAGAGGTTACAGGTACTCATCAAGAAAGCAGACGAGGTCGCCAAGAGGGCCCGTCAGCTGAATTATCACCTAAGCGGCCGAAAAGCTGCCATCAACTCAAGACACAACAGCAGCTCACAATCGCCCGGATTCCATCCTGTTTCCTCTCCACACCGACATGGCGGTCCAGGGCCCAGCTACGATCTTCGCGCCGACCTCTTGCAGCAGTTTACTGCTTTCACCGTTCAGTCATTGGCACAGCGGACGCCACCTGTTCATTCTCAAGATGCTGGTCATATCCTTCACAACTTGACTAGCACCTCGGATCATCGTCAGCAACTGCCAACGCAGCCTGGTCGATCTCCTTTGCCGTCCGCTCCACCTGTGCACCGGAGGGACTCTTTCGACCCATCCGCAGTCCACCGTACCGCGATGACCTCGCGCATAGAGAGACTCGACAAAGGAAGCCCAATCTACCCACCATGTGACCGTTGTCGACGACTGAAATCGCCCTGCATCAAGCATCTTACGGCATGCCAGGGTTGTACCAAAAAGCATGCCAAGTGCTCCTGGAAAACCATCACAGAGCGCGAAATTGCATGGCTTGAACGGGAAGAGAACAACGCGGGGGATGCTGAAATGGAAGGCAGTGGATCTGGTTCGGGTCACGCGACAGGGTTGAAATATGACGCCAGCCACGATGAGCAGCGACACACGACGGATGAGTCTGTAGGCTCGCCACCAGCCCGTGGAGAAAGCTCGAGACCGGGCAGCAGGGGAAGCCAGCCTACGATACGACCACCTTCTCCAGCCGAAACGGCAGAGAAGAGGGCACCGCCGAATAGTCTGCCGGAGATTCGCGTGTCCGTCTCGCCCTCGGCATCCAAGCCGTGGCCAGCAGACATACTTCACCGTGACGATCATCCGGGCCCACACAGAGACCATGCTCGGCTGAGCCATATGGCCTCGGTAGCCACAGCGGCAGCGGACGCTCGAGATGGTGTCATCAGGCAAGCCCCTTCGCCATCAGGGCATTAGATTTATGGGCATCCTAATGCTGAAGCCAAGTGGACAATAAGATGTACACAAAGAACGCGGTCAATTACGTGGTTATGCCATGTCAGGCTGAAGCACAGGGCCCTCGCAGATAGATCTCACAGGTGGGTTAGATCTCACATGTGGCGTGGTGACGACGATCATGGGACACGGGCAGCATGAACATATGTTGAAAGGAAAACGAAGTGAGAACTACGTAGCAAAATCAAGTTTACGCATGAACAATCATAAGCGCCAGCTTAGCAAATGTATGCCCCTGAAAGTGAAGGCTAGGCCAATCGTGATGCATGCGTTCCAGGACCTCGTCACACCGAAGCACACCAAGGCACACCGAGTGGCATGGTAAGCACACCGCCTGCCACTTCTGCCCATCCTATTCACGCACGGGCCAGTTCTTATGATGACACAGCCCAGTCGATGCGCGGCGCGTCGTTCTACAAGGGAAAAAAAGACTTGATGATCCAGGGACCCTGATCCATATCTCGACAAACCCCATGGCACCACAAGTCCCGGTCAGCTTACCCAGAGATCACGACAACCTCTCTCTGTGCCTGCGAATCGCACCAAGATAGATCATAATTTTGTTGCTACCCTCTTTTCCCCACGGTTGCTACTCACATCACCTCGCTTTTGTCTCCGCCTTGTCTCGCCACATCGATGGCCCACTCCTTCTCGAAACGAGACTTCATGGCAGGTCCTGGAGACCGCCATGGCAGGCCAGCCCTTCACAGCCCTCAACCTGACACGGCATCCTTCATCACATCTCGGGAGACTGGCGATGTATTTCCCGATACTACACAGAACCCAGCCATTGTAACCCAGACATCGCCGTTTGGAAAGTCATGGGTCCATTTCTTGGCTGGAGGGTAGGCTCTGCCCCCTGCCCCTTATTCTCTTCATCGCCAGACAGCTAATGTGCCTCCAGTGTCGGCGGCATGACATCGGCTGCCCTGACGGCGCCTCTTGACGTTCTGAAGACACGCCTCCAATCCGACTTTTACCAATCTCAGCTGCGGGCTTCTCGTCCTGCCGTTGCCCTCAATCCGTTTTCCGCCGCCGCCTTCCACCTCCGCGATACCCTATCCATTCTCTCCTCTGTCTACAAGCTCGAGGGCCCGCGGGCCCTGTTCAAAGGCCTCGGCCCGAATCTGACGGGTGTCGTCCCGGCGCGCGCCATCAATTTCTACACCTACGGCAACGGCAAGCGTCTCATCGCCCAGCACGCCAACGACGGCAAGGAGGCGGCTTGGGTGCACCTCTGCGCGGCGGCCGCGGCGGGCATCGTGACAAGCACGGCGACGAACCCGATCTGGATGGTCAAGACGCGCCTGCAGCTCGACAAGACGATCGTCGAAAAGGCGGGCGGCGCCGCGACGCGCCAGTACCGCAACAGCATCGACTGCATCCGGCAGGTGCTGGGCACCGAAGGCATCCGCGGCCTGTACAAGGGCATGAGCGCCAGCTACCTCGGCGTCACAGAGAGCACGCTGCAGTGGATGATGTACGAGCAGATGAAGCGCTACCTAAAGGAGCGCAACGACAAGATTATCGCGAGCGGCCGCGACAAGACGGTGTGGGATACGATGGTCGACTGGACGGGCAAGATCATCTCCGCTGGCGGTGCCAAGTTTGTGGCCGCCGTTATCGCGTACCCTCACGAAGTAGGTTTCCTTGCCTCCCCTTGCCCGCGGGGGTGGTGTACACGACTTTTACTCGGACTGAATCACGTGTACTGACATACCGCAGGTCGCACGGACAAGGCTACGACAGGCGCCCGAGGCCAACGGCCGGCTCAAGTACACCGGTCTCATGCAGTGCTTCAAGCTGGTGTGGAAGGAAGAAGGCTTCATGGGCCTTTACGGCGGCCTGACGCCGCACCTGATGCGGACGGTGCCGAGCGCCGCCATCATGTTTGGCATGTATGAGGGCATCCTCCGACTGTTCGACGTGCCATCCAATGAGGAAGAATGATCGCAAACGGCGAGAAAAGAAAAGCGCAACTGCGACGATAAAACGACTTCGTAATACGAGCCGCACAACCGCCTGGCCTGCGGACACACATACACACACACCTCCGCTTCTCCACGATATCCTTTGCGCACAACACTTCTTTGAACACCTTTTTTTGTACATCACCACCAACCACTTTATTGAAAACGATTAAATCAGGCACCGGCCACAAAATCGGAACAGGCTACAGATGGGGCATGAAAACCGCACGGGGGGACAAGGCTTTACATTGGGGCAGCACAAAAAAACCGGCGTTAAGAGATTCTCCACTTGAGAGAGAAGATGGAGAGAAGGAGAGAAACGTGTACATTAAAAACAGTTTTGTAACACCATACTTGTTTGGAGTAGAGGGGGGCCAGCAGAGGCCGCGAGCTGGCAGACCGGGAGAGTTCAGGCTGCTACAAATGACAGGCAGACAACCAAGAGCCAATCCATGCGAGGAGAACAGCGAATGGACAACTCCTGATTCGATGAATCTTTCTGCGTCGGGCATTTTGCCTTGCGTTTACATATCATCGAGAGGGCACAAGTCGTGAAAGGTGAGAAAGAATGGTTTGCAGCTCATGTCATAGCAGAGGTTTCCTCCCTCCCAACGCCACTTTTGAGAAAAGAAAAAAGGAAACTGCTCGGATGGAGGCCAGGAAAGAAGAGAATGAACACCGAGAAGAGAGAGAGAAGGAAAAACACTCATGCTGGCGGCCGGTGGATTCTTATATCGAGCGGGTGAGACGTCATGTAGGAAGCTGACAGGGCTGCGCGTGGAAGAAGAAGTAGAAGGACAAGACGCCCCCCTCAACCCAAGTAACACACACGCACGCCACTATTGCCTGTGTCCAGATCCACGCTCAATGTTCTGCCCCGGTTACATTCATCTCCTTGTCCTGTCAATCCATTCACAAACAATACAAGGCTCGATTCCTTGGTAGGCATGTATGCGCGCGCGCAACAGCGAAATTCACATGTCTGACGACGACACCCGTTCGAGCGGCGTGTCGGAGCGCGGCTGGCAGCGCGGCGCATGTCTCTTGCGCAGCTTGTTGGGGACGCGGGCGGCGGGCGCAGCGGGCGGCGGGGACGAGGGGTGGCGGGCGAGGGCGGTGGGCCAGGCGCGTCGGAGTTTCAGTCACCACGCATTGCGGTCCCAGTTGGGGTCTGCGGCATCACGTCAGCTGTCTGTCCCCTCGCGGCTGTGGAGTGCCTCTCTCTTGGTCCCCGGTGCCTGTCTCGGCCCGCGTTCGGCTGTTGGTACTGCTGCGGCTGCTGCAGGACGGAAGACCGACGCCTGCCCCTCGTCCTGCCGACGATCCAGACGAGGTCCTCCTGCTGGCGCTCGGCGGCGACGGCGGCGCGCAGCGACTCGGAGGAGACGGGGGTGTGCAGGGTGGTGGCGGGCGGCGGCGGCGTCGGCGTCTCGGGCAGAGAGCAGGAGGTAAGAGAGGAGGAGGAAGAGGTGGTGAGCAGCGGCATCGGCATACCTTGGACAAAGGCGGCGAGGACCTTGCTGCCGGTCTGCAGGAGGGGGTGGCCGACGACAATCTTGAGGAACTTTTCGAGGCCGGCGCGGCGGCCCTCGATGACGTCGTCGCTGAAGCGGTTCGTGAAGACCTTTGCCGGGCAGCGGCGGGATGGTGACGCGGGCGGACTCGCGCTCGAGAATGTCGCGAAAGTACTCAAAGTCGGAGTAGCGGCGGCGGACGCTCGAGGCGCGCAGCTTGAAGGCGGGGATGTTTGTGCGGCAGAGGATCTCGTAGTCGGTGTACATGGAGCGGCCATGCCGTGGGTGCGGGGGTTGCGGACCTCGATCTCGAGGAAGTTCTCGGGCGGGCCGTAGATCTCGTCAAAGGACTGCTGACGGTTGTCGGGCATGGCCTGGAGGATGGGACGGTGGAAGGGTGAGGTCGGCGAGTTGGGCGACTCGGCGCCGCCGGGGGCGTGGGCCCCGTCCTGGTCGCGGGACGCCGTTTTGGCGGTGTTGGCGGGGGTTCGCCGGGAGAGAGGATGTGTCGAGGGGGGGGGGACGTGATGGAGGGGAGAGGTCGTTGAGGTCGTCGAGGTCGTGGGTCGTTGGATGTAGGTCGCAGGTTGCAGGTTGCAGGTTACAGGTTACAGATTGCAGGTCACAGGAATTCCCGCTTTTTGGCTGGCAATCGGAAAGCAGGCGAGGAGGGGTAAAGAAAGATGCCTGGATTGGAGTTGCTGGGGGGAAGAAGCTCGGATGGCAGATGCTAGCTCGCATTACCTCAGATCAACTGCACACTGTGATGCGGGGGCTGCCTCTACCTAGACCTAGGTACCGCCTGTACGTACCTAGGCACCACCTAAGGTAGGTACGTACTTAAGGTAAGGTACCTGGGCACCTGGGTAAGGCATGTACCATGTCATCATCACGAGCTGCAGCCTTGTGCATACCTACTTTCATTGGCAGCAGACACCACCAGCATCAGAATCATCGGCATCAGAACCATCAGCAGCAGGAAAGTATCGATCTTGCCCCTCAGTTTTCATTATGCAAAGCCTCTTTGGCAGCTACAGCAAGCTCTTGGCCGCTGGCTATCCCATGAGTGAACCTGGTCCCTCTCGTGTAACGGCGAATGCCTTATAACCACACCACATTGTACAGACGTACACATTGTACAACAGAATCCCCCCTTCACCCGACCCTACTTGCGATCCGAAAACTTTTGGTGGATCGCTCGGATCTGGTCAGTCACATTGAGCCCTTGCATGTGGTTGGGCCCCATGTTGGGGTTCTCCACGCCGTGGACCGCCGCCTTCTTCCGCCGAGCCTGCTCCTCTTCACTAAGAGGCTGGCCCGTAATGCCGTCAAACACATCGCTGCGCTGGCTAGCCAACCTCTTGAGGTTGTTGGCCACATCAGCCGTCGACAGGTTCGTCGTCGCATAACGCGCGTCGGCCTTGGCCTTCTGATCCTTCCATCGAGGATCGAGCAGTTCAACTAGACAGGCGTGTTAGCTACGACACAACTCCACAGGTTAAAAGGGGGGGCTCGAGGTCCACTCACTCCTCATGTGCGCCTCGAGCTCGTCCATCGGAATCTGCTGCTTGCAGTTCGGGCACAACGCCATCGGCACCGCTTGCGCCGCCCGCTGCATCGCTCGCGGCACGTAGTTCTCCTTGATCTTCATGGGCCCGTTGCCGCCCCGTGCCTCGGCTCGTGCCTGCTGCTCCCTTGCGCGTGCGTCGCTCCTCTCCTGGATCCGCCTGTCTTCCTCCTCCTCTTCGGCCGTCTTCCTCGGCGGTTGTCCATTCGGTCCGTGTGTCTGTTGATATGGCTGCTGCGGCTGGGATTGTTGCGGCGCGTAGCTGTTGTGCAGCGGCAGCGACGTCGCATTGTAGTCGGTGACCTCGTCGGGCATGGCCTCCTCGATGCGGAAATTGCCGCCAATCGACGCGTTGTTCCTCTCCTCAAGAGACGCGTACTGCAAATCGGCGAGGTTCGTCGGCGGCGGCAGGTTGGCCTGCTCGTCGACGTCGTTGAAGACGATCGTCTCGACGACGACAAAGTCGTTCCAGTCGATGCGCGCAAACTCCTCCCGCTTCTTCTCCGTCTCCTGCTCCCTCTTGACCTTCTCGGCCTCCTGGAAGCGCACGTACTCGGCCCGCTGCCGCGCCCGCGCCAGCACCCTGTACTTGTCGTCGACGTTGCCCTGCAGCTCAGCCGTGACCTCCTGCTGCAGCTTGCCGCCCTCGCCGCCGAGGCCCGTCGTCCGCAGCAGCGCCGTGTACTGGTCGACCTGGTGCTGGAAAAAGTTGTGAAAGGTGTGGTTCGGGATGAGAAAGTGAAACTGCGGGCTGCCGGCCTCGCGCTGCGCCAGCTGCGTCATGAACTGCCGCCCGTTCTTGGCCACGAACAGCGCCGTCAGCCGGATGACGTCGAGGTCCTTCTGGCTGAGCCGCGGCATGCGCGCCGAGAACTGAAAGTCCGCCGGCTTGGGCGGTCCCTTGGGCTTCTCAGCCGCCGCCGCCGCCGCCTCGTTGGCGCGTCCCGCCGCGATGGCCGTGCCGCGCCCGGCCTTGATCTCCTCGAGCCGCCACTGGTAAAAGGCGTAGTAGGCGTCGGCCGTGTTGAGGAAGCTGAACTTGGGGTTGGCGCGCTCCTTCTCGCGGATCCTGTCCTCGAAGACGAAGCCGTTGCGCGCCACGTAGCCCGCCGTCTTCTCGAGGACGTTGCGTATCTCGCGCGGCGGGAGCACCACGCCGGCGGGGGGCTTGATGTCGTCGAGCGCCGCGGCGGCATCGCCATTCGTCGCAGCCGAGGCCATGTTGACGGAATGCTTCAGCGACTGCCAGTGTTAGGCCCTTGTCTCAATGGGAAAGAGCCGTTTCGCGTTCTGTGTAGGAGGGTCGGGAGATGTCAAGGGTTGTCATCGGCGCGGGTGGTGGTTGGCGATGTTAAATCCAACAGTGGATAATGTTTTTTGGGTGCAGGAGCAAATGTGACGAGGGTCCAAATGCACGCGTCGTCGCTAAGCCATAGCGTAGTCGACTTTGCCACCTGATAAATGCATACAACGATGTCGGCAGCATCCATGCCGCTTTAGTGGGAGGGTATAGTTCACTTTGTTCGATTTGGCAGCAATAATCTTGGCTCTAGTACATAGGTCTATAGGGTTCTCAGGTCACTACTAGTACCTGTAACTTATATAATAAATACTACGTTATACTATTCGTTCCGATAAAATTCGCCCCCTTATATTTCCCTAGGCACCTGCCCCACTATTTCGTAACTTCTTTAGTACTTTATATAACCCCTTTATGCCTCTAATATAGCCTTAACCTAATTAGGTATCGACCCTATTAAGTTTTCTAATAGCTAATTAAGGACCGTATCCTACGCCTCCTATATTTACCGCTCTAATTTAGGAAGGGGTACCTTCCTAATAATTCTATACTTATATTATAAATAATCCTTTATTTAATTCTATATTAGCTCGATTACGTTAAGATCTAGCGAATAAAGTAATTAAGCTATAATATATACGCTTATAGCTAATAGGAGCTCTAGAGTCCTACCCTTTATATAGGAAGGAGCGTTATTATAAATTAATTCGAGGTTATAGGTATTATAGGCCTAGATAATAAAGGGGTAAACTTTCTCTTAATAAGCTATAATAGTAATCCTACTCTATCTCTTATCCTAAAAGAGATTAGCGCCCTTCGTTTTATTATAGAAGGACCCCTAAAATATCTATCCTTACCGCCTCTAGAAATATAAGATTAAATAGATCTCTTTAAAGGTCTTATTAAGTAAGTATATTACTTAGACCTTCTTATAATTACTACCTATTACTTAGATCTCGTTAATCTATAATATTTATTATTAATCGTTAATAATCTAATTAATATATAATTAGGCCTATTCTAGCTATTTAGGCTAATTCGCTTTACTTAGGGGTAGCTTTTTAATAGCTATATATCTATAATATCTAAAGTATTTAAAGGTTAAATGAATTATTATAATATTATAATTATTATTAAAGATCTATTATATAAGTTCCTAGTAAGTTATATATTTACTTTCTTTATTTAGAATTATAGGAATTATAAGGGCTAGAGTCTTATAATTATACTACTAGCTTAAATAAAAGCTAAGCGATAACGATATATATATTATAAAATAGAGAAAAATTATAGCTATAGAATAGAATAATTTTTATAATATTCTATAGAACCGTTCTATAATAATAAGCATTTAAGCTCTCTTATACCCTATTAACTAGAGCTTAAAATCTAACTCTATTTCCTCTATAAATCTAGAAGTAGTCTAAGCGCTTTATCTACGTATAGCTATTAAGGGTTAGTCTATTATATATAGAGGGTACTCCCTAGACCTATTATTTAGGTTTTTAGATCTTAATAATTATTTAATTCTAATAATATTTATAAGTCCCCTTTATATAGTAATTCTTATTTAATTTATATATTCTTAATTATTAAAAATAGATAATTTCTAAGATATATTTTATTCTTATTAAGATTAATTTAAGTATTTCTTTTAATTAATTATAATTTTCTTTTTAATTATTTTTCTACTTTTTTATTTTTAATTTTAAATAAAAAATATATTATTTTATAGCTTTTATTAAAGGCTATAAGAATCTTTAATCTATTTCTCGATTTAATATCTCCTTCTAGAGATATAATTACTTTTATCTCTCCTTTCTTCTTATCTATTATTATCTCTTTATTCTATAATTAAGCTATACCTTTAATTATTATTTAATACTTTATATATCGATTATAATATATATTAATAAATATTAATAGGTTATAAGCCCGGATTTCTAATCTACTTCGAAATCGAATTATAAAAAATCGAGATAATAATTCTTTAATTATTTAATAACTTTAACCTCTTCTTAGTTATTATATATTAGATTATTTTAATTATAATTAATTTATTTTTAATTTTTAGAAGATTCTCTATCTTTTAATATACTTTTTATATTAATAGCTCCTCTCTTTATAAAATAATTATAATTATTAATTG